TTCGATAAGTGCTTCAGATTATGATTATGATTTTTGGTTTTTCATTTGTTGCTGCCTTTGCCAAAAGCCTTAGAAAATCTCAGTAGGACAGTGAGTGTCAGGAAAGCCTGTAAGAAGCCTGAGAACAGAGATGCTGTTCTCAGGTGGGGGCAGGCAGAAGGAGTGGATAGCTAGACAGGATGCTCTGGCAAGAAGGGCAGTCTCCCTCTTCCATTTCCTGCTCCTGCGCTCAATCTTGATGGCCCTTTGTTTGTTTGCTTTGTTTTTTGTTGCATAGTCTCATATAGACCATGCTTGACCTTGAACTCACGGAGCTGAAGACGATTTTGAGCTCCTGATCCTCCTGCCTCCAATTCATAAGTGCTTTTAAATTTTCAGGTTCTCCGATTATTCCCATCTTGCTGAAGTGACTCCTACATAGGAAATATTCATGGAACAGAATTTAAGCAAAAACACAGCAGCAACAACGGTGTTCCTACAGCACATCCTGCCAATAGCTGGGCTCTAGGCTGCCTTCAGGATGTTTTCTGTTCTCAATTTTTCCATCTATAAAATGGAAATGTTCTCCGGCTAGATTGTAGGTCCTCCTTTAATCTAAACGGGTCATTAACAGAAAGAATAGAAGATGCTGTGATATTCTTAAGTGGAGAAAAGGGGTTCTTTATTTGTTTTTTGTTTTTCAGAGGGTTTCATGTATCCCAGGCTGACCTCAAGCACAGTATGTAGCCAATGATGGCCAACAATGATGATCAACGATGACCTGCCTCTCCCTTCCTAGCCTTGGGGTTCCAGGAATGCACCACAACATCTAGTTTTCAATGCTTTGTTTTCCCTCTTGAGGGCCCAAAATTGAGCTGTACACTCCTGGCAATAATCAATAAGCTCTACTTTCCCAGAGCAATCGCAGAGAGTCTCTAGGTCATTAACCTGACCCGATCAGAGCTAGCAGTCACTGATAATATAAAATAATATATTATAAAATAATATATTATTTATTATATACTTATTATTTATTATTATATACTTATTATAATATAAATATAAATTTATTATAATACTTATATTATAAAATAATATAAGTCTCTTTGCTATTGGCCAGGTTGGTCTGTTTGTCAACCCAAGGGACAAGTTGCTGGAACAAGGAGACAGATCTTTGAAAGCCAACAAGGCAAAGATGGAGACTGTTTTAGTCACTGTTCCCATGCTGTGGAGAGACACTATGACCAAGGCAACTCTTAGAAAAGAAAGTATTTAATTAGGAGTTTGCTTATAGTTTCAGAGGTTTAGTTCATGATCATCATTACGAGGAGCACACAGGCATGGTGCTGGAGCAGTAGCTGAGAGCCTCATCCTGATCCGTAGGCAGAGAGAGCGAGCCTGGCATGAAGTGACCCTCCCTGGTGACTACTCATTCAATAGATGAACCTGTGGGGCCAGTCTTATTCAAACCACCCAGAGGCTATCACCTACAAAAATATCTTAGGGAGTTAAGAGACAGAGAGAGCTTTTCTTGGGAGGGGGAAGGGAAGCAGGTAGCGGCCAGGAGCATTGCATGCTGAGCAGAGTCTACACCCTCCACAGCGTGAATCTTCTTCTCTCTTCCACCAGAATATCCAGCGACAACAGCTGACTTTTGATGGCCAAGCCACTCTCTAGAACTCCTTAAACAAACACATTATTTCCCTTTGAGTTAAACATCATTCTACTTTTAATTAAAGAACAAGACTCCAAAACCTTCAGCCCACTTCTTGGTGTTCTTGAAGACCATTAGCTATTTATTGGGCTTTGTAAATCTAGAGAAAAGTTACTGATGAGTCCGTTATTTTACAATTTGATTTTTTTGTTTTATTTTATTGGTTTTGGCTTTCGTTTTTTGAACACAAGCATTCTCGGTGTGACAGTCCTGGCTGTCCTGGAACTTGCTTTATAGACGAGCCTCAAAATGCATAGAGATCCTCTTGCCTTTGCCTCCTGAATGCTGGGGGGTCAAAGGAGTGTGCCTCTATGCCTGTCCAAGGAGGTTTTTGAGTCAGTCTTACCAGGCCCATATGCATGCTGGAGGACCGAGGGTGAAGTGGGTATTTCAGTGTGGATGTACTGCCCAGACTGAAAGGCACAACACGAGGTTTTGGAGAAAGAAGTTTGAAATTGGAGGGTAGAAACATTATTCGTTTGATCTTAATTTGTCGTAGTCCATGACTTTAATCCCAGCCTTTGGTGGGCAGAGGCAGACAGATGTTTGTGAGGTTGAGGGGGACAGCCAGGGCTACACAGAGAAACTCTGTCTCCAAAAAAAAAAAACCAACAAATGTATTTATTTCATGAGCATGTGTATGAATGACAGAGAGAGAGAGATGAGAAGAAAGAGAGGATAAAGCCGGGCAGCGGTGGCACACGCCTTTAATCCCAGCACTCGGGAGGCAGAGGCAGGCAGATCTCTGTGACTTCGAGGCCAGACTGGTCTACAAGAGCTAGTTCCAGGAGAGGCCCCAAAGCTACAGAGAAGCCCTGTCTCGAAAAACCAAAAAGATTTAGAAAGATGGGTCAGTGGTTAAGAAAAAAAAAGAAAAGAAAAGAAGATAAAGAATTCAGATTGAATAGCGCCCCTGAGGTTTATGTGACAGCCTTACCTCCATACCCCGACTTTGGCCTCACATGTTTGCCTTTGGAACCAGCTGATCACCTTCGGGTTCCAGGAGCCCAAGCTGAAAGATGGAGCTGCAGCTATGAACTGAGTGTCTGGGTTCACGGCCTGGTGAGGGCTGACCCCTGGTGGCCACACAGCGCCTTGCAGCTGCCATCAGCTTAATCCAAGCAGACTCTTTGAGGACCTCTACTAAACGGTGCGGAGGAAACCAGGGAGTGAGCCAGGATCAGAGCCACGTAATGATTTTCAGCTCTATCAGCTAGACCACAAGAGACAATCGCATTTCCCCAGTCTTAGGTAATGCGGAGCAATTAGGAGGAAGGCCTGGGAAAGACAATGGGTAGGTTGGTGGGTTAGGTGTGCTGGGATAGGTTTTTAAAATTTTGTGTAGTTTGGGATTGACTGTTGTTTTGTTTACCTGCTTATTTCTCTGTGTAGCCATGGAAATCTCCAGCTTGGAACTCAACTGAGGATGATCTTGAATTTGTCCCCCTGCCTCTACCTCCCAGAGCTGGGACTACAGGTCTGCTCCCCCTGGCGCTGCAAATAGACCTGTGGAAGAATGAGGGGCTGAAAGGGAGGTGTGCGCTAATGGGGGTAGACTGAGGGACTCAGCTTGCCTGTTATTCAGCTCCTCCTCTGCGTCTATAGGACTGCATGTCTCTTTAGGCATGGGGCAGGACACAGGTCACTGAGGTACTTCTGGGGGGTGGAGGTGACCTTCAGAAGTGACCTTCCTGGGGTTTAGGACTTGACTGGGGCAGAGTCAGGGGAGACAGAGGGAGACCACGGACAGGAGGAGGTTTTTCAGCTGATACACAGCCATTTGCACCAAGGGCTGTTGAGATAAGTCTGGACACAAAGGGTGTTACCGAGGCATATCTTATCTCTTACAGCAGGCCTGAGGAGACTTGCCTGCTGGCTCTTTCTTCAGAACTACAGAGACCAGTTAGCTGGAAGATGTGAGTGACTTTGCAGAGGTCTCCCCACCACCCTCTGGTCACAGAACCACTAATTGCCTTCTGCCCCAGAAATCAGGCTATACCCTACTGCTCAATGTCAGTATCCTTGCACCCCTTGAGGACTTGGACAGTCACCCCTCTGCATATGGCAAGCAGGCCCTAATTTGTACACAAGGTCCCTTTAAGAGACAATCTCCACCCCCCCCACACCCCCCCCTAGGTCGTATCCTTTCTCTCTCTCTCTCTCTCCTCCTTCCCTGTCTCCCTGTCTCTGTTCTCTCTTCCCTTCCCATTCCCTTTATCTCAAATAAGCTCCACACTCAAGCTCTCTCCGCATGGTGTATTCTGTCACCTGCCACGGTCCTCCCCAGACCAGCCAAGGTCCCAACTGAACACTCCATCTCACAGAATCTAGTAACCCAAGTGTGCCATGGACTTGCAATCCCCTTCTCCCTTGCAGCTATAAGCAAGCCCAAGACAGTCTTGAATTATAATTTTATTTGTTTTTGAAGATGGATTTTTATTTGTGCATATTTCTATGTGTGTCATCAATGTGCAAATACCTTCAGAGGCCAGAAGAGGATGGAATCAGATCCTCTGGGGCTGGAATCACAGGTGGTGAGTGTTCTGAGAACCAAACTCGGGTCCTCTTTAAGAGCAGCAAATCCTTGCATCTGCTGAGCCCTATAACTTTACTCTTAAAAAAAAATTGTCAGGCCATGGTTGTACATACCTTTGGTCCAAGAAGAAGCAGGTGGTGTTAATCCTGATATTTGCAAAAGAAAAACCAGTTCCACAATTTTGAGCCAAATTTGAAGCAAGCTTTAGTTAAATGTCGACTAGGATGGACTTTGGTCAGGACCACGCCCTGGGATTCAAATGAGTGGCCCCAAAACATGTGTTGTAGGGGCTTTTAAGGACAAACTCATACGGCCACCAAATTTCCCATAGGGTTTTTACAACTTCCGGCATTCTAGGAAGTTGGCTGGTCCTTGGGCAGGTGGGGCTTACAGCTTAACTTTGGGTCTTACAGTGGATCTGAGTTTGAGGCCAGCTTGATCTACAGAGCAAGTTTGGGAAAAGCTATACAGAGAAACCCTGTCTCAAAAAACCAACCAAACAAACAAACAAACACTTTTTTTAAAATGTGAATAGGTGTTTCGTCTACATGTGTATCTGTGTGTCATGTGTATGTCTGATGCCTGAGGAGGCCAAAGGCACTGGAGCTCCTGGATTTACAGATGATTGTGAGTCGCCACCATGTGGGTGCTGGGAATTGAACCCAAGTACCCTAGAGGAGCAACCAGTGCTCATAACTACTTGGGCATCTCTCCAGCTCCAATGTGACTCTTATGTCATGCCTTTCTCTGAGAGTTCTGGCACATAGGAGAGGTTACATAATATGGGATGCACTGTTCCACCCCAAAACCTAGCAGACAGAAAAGTTCCCTTTGTGCTGAGGGAGCCCCTTCCGCTCCTTCAGCCAATAGCCTTGAAGATAGCAGCCCACTTAGGTGTGGTCTCTTTTGCTTTAAAAAGCAGCGATAGCTCTGCTCTGGCTCTCTTGCTTCCAGCTTCTGCTTCCGGCTGCCAGATTCTGTACCTGTTCATTCAGAGGGTTGTTGTCTAGGACAGTGATCTGTAAGTTTTCCCCTTAAATAAGTAACCCTTTTATTAATCATAATTCCAAACTGGTGTGGGATTGTTTTGTGACTTACGCCTTCACCTCTGTGTTGTGAAACTGTCTTTTCCCCTTCAAGCCATCGGCCACATCATCAGCCACACTGTCTGGAAGCACTGTCTGCGAAGGCCAGCTCTCCTAATGAAGCTGCTTTTGGACCCAAAGCCTTGCTTTCCCACTTCAGGCTGGGGTGCAGGTGAGGCTCTGGGCTCACTACTCTGACATCAACTTAACACAAGCTATAGTCATCTCAGAGAAACAACCTCAAATGAGAAAACACCTCCATAATGTGGCTACGGGCAAGCCTGTAGGGCTTTTTCATAATTAGTGATTGATGGGGGATGGCCCAGCCCATTGTGGGTGGGGACACTCCTGGGTTTGTGGTCCTGGGTTCTATGAGAAATCAGGGTGAGCATGCCATGAGGAGCAATCCAGTAAGCAGTTCTCCTCCATGGTCTCTGCATCAGCTCCTGCCTTCAGGTTCTTGCCCTGTTTGAGTTTCTTTCCTGATTTTTGATGATGAACAGTGGAAGAGTAACCAAAATAAACCCTTTTCTTCCCAAGTTGGTTTTGGTCATAGTGGTTTTTTTTACAGCTATAGTTATCCTAAGACAGGGTCCCAGGTTGCCAAGTGCTTTGTTGGTGAAGGGATGGGCTCTAAGTTGTTATTAGCATGTCTGTCCTGAGCCAAGCAGTGGTGGTATACGCCTTTAATCCCAGCACTCAGGAGGCAGAAGCAGGCGGATCTCTGTGAGTTCGAGTCCAGACTGGTCTACAAGAACTAGTTCCAGGACAGGCTCCAAAGGTACAGAGAAACCCTGTCTCAAAAAACCAAAAAACGGAAAAAAAAGAAAGAAAGAAAGAAAGGAAGGAAGGAAGGAAGGAAGGAAGGAAGGAAGGAAGAAAGAAAGAAAGAAAGAAAGAAAGAAAGAAAGAAAGAAAGAAAGGAAGGAAGGAAGGAAGGATGTCCATCCTGTCTCAGACACACAGCTGCAAAAATGGAGACGGGAAACAGCAGAGTGTGGGTTCTGCTTGTCTGTTTTCTGCCGTGTGATTTTTCTGTGCTTTCTCACTGTAACCTGTGTAAACGCAGCAAGCAAGAACCACACCACAGCCTGGATAGTATCCTGCTTTAACATTTCCTCCACAAGGGGCTGGAGAGATGGTTCAGTGGTTAGGAACACTGGTTAGGTCCAGAGGACCTGGGTTCAGTTGCCAGCACCCACATGACAGCTCACAACTGTCTGTAACTCCAGTTCTAGGGGATTTGACACCTTCACATCAATGCACATAAAATAAATTATTAAAAAACATTCCCTCCACGAATCCCTCAGTCTTGTTCAGCGTCTCAGAACACAAATGAGACTTGCCAGATTCCTCACCAGAATATAACATGAACAGCTTCAGTCCAGGTCCTGGTAGAATCCTTGCTCCCTTCTCAAACTCCAACAGCCTGAGTTTCACCCTCCAAGTCACTATCAGCTTTCTAGTCCTCTATGGCCCTACCAGAATGGTCAGTTCAGCTTTCCTTAGAGCACTGCAGGGACTCTCTGGTTTACAGATCCGAACTCTTTCCAATGCCTCCTGCAAGCCATTTCCAGAAGTTTAGAAACCACATGCTCAGCCAGACTTGGTGGCACAGGCTGTTAATCCCAGTACTCAGGAGGCAGAGGCAGGAAGATCTTGAGTTCAAGGCCAGCCTGCTCTACATAGTGAGTTGCCCGACAATCAGGGCTACATAGAGACCCTATCTTAAAATGAAGAACGAAACACATGGTCAGGTAGTTCCTGAAGGACCTCATCCTCTGCTATCACCTGACAAGAAGCCACTTTCGGGAGGCAAGGTCAGTGTGAGGTCATGGTACTAAGGGAGTACGGTCCATCGTAGGGGTCAAGTGTGCTGGTGAGCTGTTATTCACTTGATGCAAACTTCGCTGGAACAAGGAAGACGGAGACTCGGTTGACGAATTGCCTTCATCAGATTGGCCTATAGGTAAGCCAGTAGGGCATTTCTGTGGGCAGCACCACCCCTAGGCAGATGGTCCTGAATTATATAGTTGAGCAAGCCAGAGGAAACAAAAGTGAGTAACATTCCCTGGTGGTCTCCACTTCCTGGCTTGGCTTGGCTTTCCTCGGTGATAAACTATAACCTGTAAGTCGAATAAACCCTTTCTCCTCCCCCTTCACCCCCACGCCCCAAGTTAGGGTTTCATCACAGTAATACAAAACCAAACTGGAAGAGGGAGTCACAACAGCAGATGGCTCCTCAGTGGCAGGAGCATGAGGCAGGTGAATGGGGAGCCAAAGGAGGACACAAGTGGGGCCAGGCAATAGACCTCAAGGCCTGCCCCTAGTCACTCTTCTGTGGTGAGGCTCCACCTTCAAGGGGTTCCGCAGCCTCTAAGGACAGCACCAGCAGCCAGTGAGCCAGGCTCACACACCTGCAGCTGCTGTCTTGCCATGTTTCTCAGGCCGCTCTAAAAGGCCCCACCCCAACCTTCCTAGAGGCTAGGGTTACAGGCACAGGCCGCTGCGCTGGCAGCTAAACCGCATCGCTTGTGCTTTGCTTTTTAGGAGTAGATACTTCCTAAAGCAAACCGTTTTGCTATTTTTACTTAGTATGAACCTGGAACCAAGGGATGGGAAAGTGTTGTTTATTCCGTTTCAGTTCACTAGCAATTAACCGAGGGCCCTTGGGCAAATGCCTTGCTTTTCCAAAATCATTATTAAAGGGTACTTAGTCTGTGCTATACGGTTCTGAGCATTTCATGGGGAGCCATTTGCTGAACTCTCTCAACAACTCTGTGTGATGATTACCATTATCTGCCCAAGGGTGGCCTTTGGAGGGGGAGGCAGATACTAGGAACCCGGGCCTCAAACATGCTAAGTGCGCACGCGCTCTGCAGCTGAGCCGCACCCGAACCCCTAGAGAAGCCTCTTTTCAAGCACAGAGAGGTTTAGTCACCTGCACAAGGTTAGACAGCCAGCCTATCAGCCAGGGTGATCTAGGAAACAGACCAATAGTGTGCATATATACTATAATGGGATTTATTAGAGTGGCTTACATGTTAGGGGCTGGGTAATCCAAAATTGACAGTCTATGTTTTGGAGAGGCAGAGAACCACACAGCTGAATGGCTCAGCTGTCCCAATGGGTGCTGAAGGCCTGGAAGGTCCCCAGGTCATTGCTGACATTCAGCTGCAGTGGAAGGCCAGAGACCCCGAGCCTAATGTCAATAGAAGACAAGAGCAGCAGCAACAGACCCGTCACTTGGAAAGAAACGAGGACAGCCGGCCATCCTGCTCCAGCCACCAGCTGGAAGGGGCCACCCACTTTGAGGGGCAGGTCTTCCCTCAATTTGTCCTCTCTGCCCATGCCCTCACAGGCAGGCTCTGAGACGATTCTCAATTCCACAGAGTTGACAGGCGAGCACAGTCATCAGAGCTGCTAAGGGGTAAGCCTGGCCTCCAGAGGTCCAACTTCTGTTCTCTTCACGGTATCAAGAATCAAACCCAATTATTCGTGATCCTAGAGAAGCTAAATAAGAAAGTGAACCTGAAGAAAATCATGTAGTTATCCTCCTGGAGATTGGAAGTAGACAAGAGTGCCAGGCAACCTCAGGTGCATGGGGGGGTGGGGGGGATTGTTGGAAGGGGAGAGGGTTAGAGAGAAGGGAGTAGGGGAGGAATGGGGAAAGCTCGGGGGATTGGGATGGGGGGGAGGGAGGAAGGATGGATATGGGAGCAGGGAAGTATATATCTCAACTAAAGGAGTCATTTTAGGGTTTACAAGAGACTTGATTATAAAGGGGATCCCAGGTCCAAGGAGAGATACCCAGATTGTTCTCTGGACAGAGGAGAGGTTGCCTGAACCGGCCTTGGCCCATAACCATACTGATGAATATTTTGCATATCACCATAGAACCTTCATCTGGCGATGGATGGAGATAGAGACAGAGACCCACATTGGAATACTGGACTTAACTCCCTAGGTCCAAATGAGAAGCAGAAGGAAAGAGAACGTGAGCAAAGAAGGCAAGATCAGAGGGAACCTTCACCCGTTGATAGATGGAGATTGAGACAGAGACCCACACTGGAGCACTGGACTGAGCCCCCAAGGTCTAAATGAGGAGCAGAAGGAGGGAGAACATGAACAAGAAAGGCAGGGCCGTGAGGAGTGCGTTCACCCACTGATATAAGGGGACTGATCTAATGAGAGCTCACCAAGGCCAGTTGGACTGGGACTGAACGAGCACGTGATCCAACCAGATTCTCTGACTGTGGCCGACACAGGGTCTTTCTGAAAAGCCATTGACAATGACACTGGGACTTGTTTCCTCTGCATATACTGGATTTTTGGGATCCAGTCTGTTTGGATGCTCACTTTCCTGGACCTGGAGGGACGGGGGAGGAACTTGAACTTTCCACAGGGCAGGAAACCCTGACTGCTCTTAGGGATGGAGAGGGAGGAGGAGAGGGAGTGGGGGGAGTGGGAGGGTGTTGGGAGGAGGGGCGGAAATGGAAACTTTTATAAATTAATAAACTTTTATAAATTAAAAAAAAAAGAATCAAACCCAGGGCCTTACACACTCTAGACAAATGCTGAGTTAAGGACCAAACTCTCAATCTCTGCCTGGGTTGGAGAGATTTCGGTTCTTCTGTCTGTAACAGTTGGTCCAGACCCTTAGAGCTGCAGGGAGGTGAGGATGGAGCTAAGTGGTAGAGCATGCGAGAGGCGCTGGTCAATCCCCAGCACCAGACACACAGAATTGTTTTGTTATTCAACAGTGATGAGGCTGTACCTCAGTGGCAGAATACTTGGCTAGCATTCGTGAGGCCTGGGCTTCATCTCCATCACTGCCAGAAACAAAACAACCACGAGCTTTGGGACAGGGATCACTTTTTACTTCTGCCTTCTTCATTTAAGTTCTGGAGGCCGACAAATTCAACTGGCAAAACCAAGACTGCAGTAGTTCAGATGAGGACAGTCCCCGTAGACACATATATTTGAATGCCTGATTTCATTCCCTAGTTGGTACAACTGTTTCAGAAGGATTATGAGGTATGGCATTGTTGGAGGAGGCATGTGACAAGGGGTGGGCCCTGAGGTTTCAAAAGCCTTACCATTTCCAGTTAGTTCTTCTCTCTGCCGAGTGCACAGTCTGTGGGCGTATACAGCAGGTGACAACAAGTAGTCAACAGGTCCAGCTGCCAGATGAGTGACTCTCTGATGGGGAGAGTGTGGGGTCACCGACTGTAAATGACTGGTTGTTTCTGGCTGCAGTTTTTCTCGTGTGCCAGCTTATGGGTGTTTGCCCCACTGCCTGTGTGTTTATCTCATGGAAATATCCATCTGCTGGGCACACATCCAGCTGTGGGTGAGCAGGAAGATGATTTCTGCTTACGTTATTTAATTCTGACGAAGAGAAGTAACACTCGGGTGCCCCGCGCTACCATCTCGCCCGCAAGAACGACGCGGGACACTTGGGATCCTTCTGCAGCAAAGCTTTAATGCGTCTTGAGAGGGAGAGCATAAGCTTACATTGCGGAGACCCGGAATGAGGGGAACCCAGCCCTTATAAAGGAAACAGTCCTCGCTTCTGACGTGTCACTCTTGGATTGGTCCGCTGCCCATTATCCCAGATGATGCCTCGGAAGTAGGCAGGGACGCAGCAGTAGAGAGTTACCAAGCACATGCGCTGGGATTAAAGGCGTGTGCTACAAAACCTTGAACTCACAGAGATCTGCCTGTCTCTGCCTCCCAGGCATTGGGACCAAAGGCGTGTACTACCACACCTTGAGGTCACAGAGGTCAATCTGCCTCTGCCTCCCAGGTATCAGGACTAAAGGCGTGTACCACCACACCTTGAGGTCACAGAGGTCAATCTCTACCTTTGTCCCTTGAAGCAATGGAGACTGTGGTTGCGGCCCTCCACACTCAGGTATTTTTCGTTACTCAGACTGACATAGGAAAGGAATAGATGCTCAGTCACAAAGACAGCTAACTTTAGACTTCAGAACAAACTCAAAGCAAACTGGTTTCACCTAGAGACGAATCAAGGACAATCTCCAGGGTGTTTATTGCTGGTTCATGGTCAGGCACAGAGCCACTTTAGTAGACACAGCTTTCTCAGGAATGGACTTTCTGCGTGCATTCCCAACCTCAAGATTCAGCCAGCTAACTGTTTATTGCTGAAGTCCTGAATTTCAGCGCCACTTCCTGTCTGGGAACCCTGACCTCTCAGAGCTGCGTGCTTATGTTACTCACTGACCGGTCAGCGTGCCCTCCTCAGCCTGAGAGAAACTGTGATCACTTTGGCTCTGTCTCTTATTGTTTACTCAAGACATGCCACATGACCCTGAATGTGATTCATATTTGTCCTGAGGTGATGTGGGATTTCCCTCTGTATGTGAATACCATTGGTTAATAAAGGAACTGGTTTGGGTCTATAGCAGAACTGTAGAACAGGTGGGGAAAACTAAATGGAATGCTGGGAGAAAGAAGGCAGAGTGTGAGAGAAGCCATGTAGCCCTGCCAGAGACAGACGCCAGAACTTTAGCCGGTAAGCCACAGTCACATGGGGCTACACAGATTAATAGAAATGGGTTAAATTAATATGTAAGAGTTAGCCAATAAGAAGCGAGGGCCAATGGGCCAAGCAGTGATTTAATTAATACAGTTTCTGTGTGATTATTTCAGTTCTGGGCAGCCTGGACGAACAAGCAGCTTCCCCGTGTAACACAAAGGCTTTGCTGTAGAGGGAGATGTAGGAGAGAAGTGCATGTGTGTGCGTGCATGTGTGCTCATGTCTGTGTCTGTACACATACACTGAAAGGGACATGTAGCTGAATGAGAGGCAGAGAGAGCAGAGCTATGTAGCTGTGTGGAGACAGAGAGAGAAGTACTTTGTAGCTGTGTGGAGACGGAGAGGTTTTCAAAAAGGGATTTTTTTTCAGTTGAAGTAAAAGAGAAGGTTACCATTAGGA